CCAACGAAGCTTTTGGAGTTGAGCTTTTGCTCGAAAGATTCGGTCCGAGCTTCGCTACTGGCCAGATGACGTATGGCTTAAGCGTGGTATTCAATCATGTGTCAATAGAGCTTGGTCAAAGTCGCAATGAGAGGCTAGTAGTGCTGTCGATGCTTGGGGTCGTCATCTCCTGGATTTATCTTCGCTGCAGGAGAGCAAGCCAATTTCCGAGGCTTTTTCGAGCGAATGTTCTGGGAGTTTCAGTGCCATAAACCATCGGCAGCCACATTGATGCTGGCTATGGAGAAGAAAGACAAGGACGGCCAAACAGGAACAAGCTCTGCGCCGTTTTCTACCTGGTTATGATAACCGACCCGGGTCATAACCAGTCTCATCCCAGTATTGTCCGGGTCATACGAGAGATCCTTCGCGATATTTTGCAGGTGGCTACTACCATTGTCACCTGTCGCAATGGTCTCTGTTGGATGCGTTTGTTCAATACGCGTTTCCGGCAACGTTTTGGCTGCGGATCCAGCTTCAGACACTTTGATATACCAACAGCATGTCTAAGTGACAGGATTCTAGAGCCTAAGCCATCTTACAGATATGGCAAACTTACAAGGTGAGGTGAATCGCCGGTGAAAGATGGCTTTGCCCAAGCTCTGTCGTATCTCCAGCATGTCTACATCATCGAAGCTCATTCAACTATCCCTCAAGCTCATGCTCCAATGAGCCCAAACTCAGAAAGGTTTCCGATCCTACCTAGACCCGAGAGGCCCGCGAAGGGTTTTAAGGCAGCATGCGATGCTTGTCCGATGTTGTTCCCTCAATCAGCACAACACAACTGCCTATAGTTGCTGCTTCTTTCGACTACAAGACCAAAAGACTCACCGGGTCCATGTCGACCTGGGTTTTATTCTTGTATCAAGTTGTGGATGACGTCTTCTCTAGGCGGTTCTACTGCCCGTGTGACTGTTGATGCGATAAACATTCACGCAATATTCATCGATGTTGCATCCTACTGCGACTCAATGTAATATGGATACTTGTGACGATATCGGATGGTTAAGGTGCATGTATCATTCGATTGTGCAGCAGGTGATCAGAATGGACCCCAGTTATTATGCCGTTCGGATCACACGTGGCGGCTCGTGAGATACCCCTACTACGCAAAGTATGCATGGCATAAAGATCGTACGTTCTTCCGACACTTCGACGTCAATGTCAGAAGTCATCGAAACGAAGCGCGGTATAAACGGCATACATGGCAGTGTTTCACTTGACAGTGAACAGATTTCATATTATGCTGCCGCCGGCTGCTTTTAGTAGATGGTCAAGTGACCCTGCACCTACCGATGATGAACATCCTGCCACCAGTGGATGGACAAGAAGTAAGCTACGAATATGCTCACTTACTCCATGTCTGTTGTTCATTGACTTAACTCGGGCTTCCACTTACTACATGCTCCACCTCTCAAAGTTATCATCATGTTAATCATATTCAATGATCTGCCCTTAGTGTTTCTTCTGCACGTTCTGCCCTCCTACCCTGCCTATCCCCGGCGGCTGTCCTCTATCCATCCTATTATCCTTCTTGTGAGCGAGATATTCGGGATCCAAGGTATGATGGAATCTACCACAATATCCAAAGAAATACTCCATATCCAATCGGTCCAGGATCCGATCGGTTGGCCTGTTCCCTTTATCAACAACAGGAAAGTGGATCTCCATAGACCACGAGATCGAGACTAAGAGTGCATATCGCACTCCATCCAGTCCGACCTGGATTTGGATGACTCGCCAGCGGGAGAATATCTCTCAACATCCCGCATCGCATGTGCTGCAAATGCTCTTGCTGCTGTTTTGATTGTACTTCGCAAGATCGAAACCGTATACCTGGCCAACATGATTGACGTGGAGAATAACTCCGCATCCGGTTCAGACAAGTTTCGTTCTATCCATAGGGGATTTTAGAGACTACGGTTTCATGAACTGGGCAAGGCGTTTCCGGCCTCTCTCGTCCGATCGACTTGTTCAGATCGAATTGCCAGAGACAAAACCAGCGAACTTTATTTAAATTGGGGTGTAGCTTGTCTACGGCTCAAGAATTCTGTATCTTCCCTCTCGATGCCATATAAGCCGCGACTTCTATTTATGAAAAGAACACTGCGACTGTTGAAGGCCGGCGGACGCAATGTTTTCCATGGCCTCTGCCTCCCATTATCGAGCATGATAATCGACCTCGTTCTGAAATGGCCTCCTTCAAATCGAGAAAGAAATTCGTCCCGAATTTAGATGCAACCCCAGCATATGAAGCATTTTGAATACAAAGGCAGAGGGGGGGAGGGGGGGGGGTTACCTTAAGCTTGCCCAAAATGAGTCCGTTTCTTGAACACGGTAACTTCATTCCAAGAGGGTCCGATTATTATCGAATCTTCCCGGCATTGTTCATGTGGCGGGCTTGTATCAGCGGTTATAGGATCTACACCTATCCGCTTGATACAGAAGTCGGACTCGGTTATGTTATATGTCAAATCTCCCCAGTTCTTCATCTGGCGAGCTTGTAACGGCGGTTATAGGGTTGAAACCTATCCGCTCGATACAGAAATTCGTCTCGTTTCACTCTTTCTGTCGAAGCCTCTCATGTGACGACGTGCCTGTATCGGCGGCTATAGGGTTTGTACCTACCCACTTGATACAGAAATCTGTCTCGGTTGCCTTACTGCATGAGATTGACGAACTGCGTCTTTCTATGGATGGGGAAATTAGGAATCTGCGAGAGAGATGGTGAAACCCCGCCCTGTTTCTTGATGAACGCAGGAAGTGGTTCTAGCGCTCAACGACCTTGGAAGACATCTTGGCTGATGGGGTACGCCCGGGAAGACGCGCTGGGCGGAGAGAAAGGGAAGAGTTCTGCGTTGAGAAAGTTTCTTGTGGTTGAATTCACGGACGTCGAATCGACGACATTTCGAAAATGTGGAGGCTACGAGCCTACATTTGAATTGCATATTGGACGAACAGAATGGTCTCTGCGAAAGATCTTCTGGTTCTGGTCGATAAACTGATGATTCGTCATCTGCTCCCGCCGTTGCTGAGTCCACCGGCGCAGTCACCCCACCATGGATCCACCAAATCCTGGTGGTTTTTTCCTCCAAGGAATCCCGGACAAATCATTATTATGAACATTTGATGCCATAATAATATAATCTTGACGGCGCACTTAGATGCTGACCTCCGACGAGTGGGTGACCACCGCAATGGATTACTCCGGACGGAGTCATAATGGGCGGGAAGGAGGGAAGGTATCGGCAGCGGATCGGTGGGATCCAGGGACATCCTCCTGTTCAGGAGTATAGAGACCTAGACGCAGATCAGTTGGCAGCAAGACTAGGCCTATTACGGGCGTATAACTGGAGGGACCACAACACCATGCTCAACCGCCCTTTCTTAGGATGGGGTCTTGCCGACGTCCTTGAGTACCCATATTATAGCGAATCAAGGGGGCTTGCTTGACATTCTTTAAACCAACGACACGATGCCGCCCAAAAAGAGACCAGTCCAGAAAGCGCCGCAGACGCTCGCGCAATCCCTGCAGTCCCGAGTACTCCGCAAATCCAGTTGACACCGGCCAGCAACCGAGTGGATGCCGTCATCACGATCAACGGGCATGCTCATCACAGCATCGAACAGGCCATTACGTTGATCAAAGTCTTGCCTCCTGCAAACCGATACGAATTGCAAGTGCAGTTAATGCACACCCTGCTAGAAAGGGCTGGGAGGTGAGCGCATTAAGGGGTGTTGCTCTCGACAGAAACAGCATACCAGGCCGCGGAAATCACATTCCCATCTTTAACAGCGCAAATCCCCAACCGAGATCAGAAGCATGGTACCGTCGTATCACCAAATAAACCCGCCAAGTTGCCAGGGAGCATCGTGAAGTCGCCCGAGTTCATAACCTCCAGCACCGGGCCCAAGCACGATTCGTCGCGATGATGGAGCACCACGCGAAGCTGGATCGACGTGATAATCGCCTAGCCCCCTGTCTCTACAAAGGCCTTCAAAATTCGCCTACTCAGGGCGAGGATGACCAGGTCGTCTAGTGGCTCAATGGGAGGCAATGAAATGGATGATAACATGGTTCAATTTATTGCTCAACGATGTCCTTGAATTAATATCGAAATGATAGTATCCACTGCAAGGAACAGGACACCATACAAGCATTTCTGAAGCCTCTGCGGGAAAGTATGTTCCCCAGATTTAATCTATTGTGTCATCGTCTATTTTAAGATAGAACTCTACGACAATCTTATTGAATTTCGATGACCAAATTGTCGACCGACGTTTCGATCGGTTGTCTTTTCCAGATTCAGCCGATCAACAATCGATCTTGGCACCTCATTGTTGCATGTTCTGTTGTAGGAAGGACATCCATGGGATTCGTTGATATAGAATCCAATGACTAGGATGCCAGTCGATGTTTCTGTCGGTCGTGTACCCAGGATAAACCTGGATAGTGGGGAGGCCGTCAACGTAATGGCAGTAAGTCCTTCTTTTCTCCTCATGTCTCCCTCTCCTTGTTTGTCCATGGGCGTAGCAACGACATATTCGGCTTTTTACTAATATTTCAAAGGCTTCATTAATAGAAGTATACCGCAACGTTTGATGAAGCAGCTCCCTGCTTTGCGCAATTAAAGCAAAACAAAGCAAAACAAAAGCTGTGGTGTCTGCTTCTACAAACAGGAATATAATATCGCGTTAGCGACTCATCAATAACGCCCACAAACCATGCTTGTCATCATGGTTCTTAATCCAAACCAAAACAATAAAAGTGCTTTGCACAGTTTGTCCTTGATTGACGACGATCCACTCGACCATAGTCCACTCTTATGTATCATCTTTGGCAACAACATGACCTTGCATCATTGGCCGTCGTTATGATATCTTAAGGATATAGCTATGTACATTACCAGAATAGTGTCGAGTGTGAAGAGATAAAAATTCCCGCTGAGAAGGCCTAGGAGATGAGGGATCTCTATGAGGAGATGCAGGAAGAATGGCGCAAGGAAGCGCGAACGATTTCTTCCGATCTAGGTGATCACAAAGCTTTAGAGAGCGACGATAAGTTAGATACGGCTAGCGCACTAGACGAGGCACTCGCTGCGGGCGAAAGAGATGATCTTGAAGCGACAGTACTAATATTGCTGCCTTCAGAGAGCGGGAAAGTCCGGGTTGAAATGACAAGAGTGTCCAGTTGTGCCGATGATACCGGTAACAGCCAAGTAATGCTCGGCATATTCTTTGAAAACATCTTCATCGGTCTTGCCAACACTCTTGCCTCCGCTCCATTTTTCGCTGCCGCTGGCTGGTCGTCCAGCCGGCCTTGCCCAACTGTTAATCCAGTTCGAAAAGGTCAGTTCTTCGTGTTTTTCAATACACGAGTCATAAGAACGAAACTATCTGGTGTGAATTTCTTATTATCAGGCAGACTTTCCCCAGTACTGAGACTCTTCCCACCATAAACTGAGAATTCATCACCATGAATCCATCAAACACCAGCAAATAATCCTTGGCTCTGATCGTCGACATTTAATCCCCTATAGGAGAAACTGCTCGTCATATTCAATCGTATCCGACTGCATATCCAAAGAAGATCACAAAAAGAAAGGAAAGGAAAAGGCACCAGGGGCAGATGGGGGGGCCCAGGGCCCTCAACTACAACAAACGCACGTGCGCCACCGAGAACAAAACAAGGGAGAATAGGTGGAAGTACTGGCACTCATACTGTTATAGACTCTTTCCGCTCTTTCCGGATCCTAATGACAGGAAAGCCCATTTTCGATCCTCAATCCATCACCCGCGGCAGAATAATGGAGCTTCTCGACTTGAGTCAAGGATTGAAGGGAATTCCTGAGGGCAAGCAAGCACCTAACATCGCCAAGTAGAGCGCTAAGCCCATGTTTATTGGCAATACATGTCACCTCGACACAGTCGACGCTGGATGCTCGGATTCAGCGCATCGTTATCGAAAAAAAAAAAAAAAAAAAAATCTTTATTACGAATAATAACATTTTCATTATTTTTTGATTTAGCTTTTATAATATTTAACATATAAATATATTAAGATATTAATATAATTAATCAAATTAATTATATAATATTAAAGCGCATTCGTACGCCGCGCTTATATACATCTTGAGGAAGGCAGGACGGAGGATAAAGGATTCAAGGCCAATCAAGCCGACATGATCCGCCGAGTCAGGGGTCTTGGAGCAGGCTACTGAAGGACTCGTTGCGGAAAACAAGCGCCTCCTTGCTGATAAGGTATCTACGACTATCCAACCGCTCCCAGCTCTACACCTCTCCCTGATCAATTTCGGGGCCGAGATTGTGGAGTAATATGCGTTTCAATCGTGCGCAGGCGTCTCCCATTGTTTAGTGGGTTAGGTTTTAGTATCTTGTTCGCGAGAGCATATTGGCGGTGGCATTAGACGTTTGCATGTACTTTAGCATGCAGCTTATTGTTTCTTTTTACGGAAGCATATATTCATGTGGTGAATCATCCTGGGATCGGTGTATCCTGCTGTTAATTGTGATTGCAGGGGTATGACAGGGGGAATCAGCAAAGATAGAGCAAAAGCACAAACAAACTACAAGGCAAAGAAAGAGAAACACAATAAAGGATAACCTAGCTTACAATGGCAAACGGTGTACGTTTTTGTTCTTCGCAAGTCATTATGCAGTGAAAACTTTGATATCGGGAAATGAAGCCCAAGGGTTCGAATAATTTAGTTTAACAAAAAAAGGTTTCTTTCAATCAGCATTAAAGCTTTCTTCATATTATTGTAAAGCGTTCAATCAAAGCCTAGGACTATCTCAAACGAGCGGATAAATTAAAATACAAAACAATATCAGGCATAACGAGTGTTCCATAAAATTTTCCATGCCAAAAATTCACAAATTCCCAATCCTTATCCCAATGAACATCAAAGGATGTTGTTGAAGGGGCCGCAGATCCAGGCCACAGTGATTATCGGCGAGGCGTAACATCCCTCTTAGCAGGAGAGATCGTCTAGTTGTCCTCCTCACACTCGCACTCCTCGTCGTCGTCACCGGAGTCGGGGGAGTCGTCAGATCCAGCGGGCTGGCCGTCGTGCTGCTCCTCGCAGTCCTTGGAGCCGTTCTCGTACGTGCACTCGATCGAAGCAGAGGTGCCGGAGACGGGCTGGCCGTTGATGGTGACCGAGGACGAGGAGTGGCCGTTGGAGTTGGAAGAGGAAGAGCTGGAAGCAGAGCTAGAGGAAGAGCTACCCCAGCTGCTGGAGCTGCTGTAGCTGCCGGGAGCGCCGGAGGTAGGGGTGCCGGAAGAAGAGCCGCTAGCGCTGCCACTGCCGCTGCCAGAAGCGCTTCCAGAAGCACCGCCGGAGGCCCCGCCAGAGATGTCACCGGAGCCGGAAGCACCGCCGGAAGCACCACCGCTAGGGCTGGGCGAAGAGGTATCGGGAGAAGAAGTGTCGGGAGAGGAAGTGTCGGGAGAGGAAGTGTCGGGAGAGGAAGTGTCGGGAGAAGAGCCAGAAGGGCTAACACCGGAGGGAGAAGGAGCACCTCCGCTGGGAGAGGGAGCACCTCCGCTGGGAGAGGGAGCACCTCCGCTGGGAGAGGGAGCACCTCCGCTGGGAGAAGGACCGCCACCAATTCCGGCACCAACACCACCACTGGCGCTGCCGCTTCCACCAACATCAGCACCAACGCCGGCGCCACCGCTGCCGCTGCCGCTGCCACTGCCACCAAGGCCAGCACCAACATCGGCGCCAGCGCTGCCGGATCCACCGACATCAGCTCCAACACCGGCACCACCGCTGCCGCTGCCACCAGCGCCGACATCAGCGCCGACATCACCGCTGCCACCGACGTCAGCACCGACGCCGGCACCAGCACCACCGTTTCCACCAAGGCCAGCGCCAACATCAGCGCCAGCGCTGCCGGATCCACCGACATCAGCTCCAACACCGGCACCACCGCTACCGCTGCCACCAGCGCCGACATCACCGCCGACATCACCGCTGCCACCGACATCGGCTCCAACACCGGCACCGCCGCTGCCGCTGCCACCAGCGCCAACGTCAGCACCAGCATCACCGCTACCTCCAACATCAGCACCAACACCGGCGCCAGCGCCGTCCTCGTCGCAGTCTTCACCGTCGGCTCCAGCGCCAGCACCGGCTCCGAGGCCAGCGCTACCGCCAACATCAGCGTCACCACCCACGTCGGCACCGACGCCAGCACCGCCATTGCCACCGGCTCCGGCTCCGGCTCCAAGGCCAGCGCTACCACCAACGTCAGCGTCACCACCCACGTTGGCACCGACGCCAGCACCACCCTTGCCTCCGGCTCCGGCTCCAAGGCCAGCACCAAGGCCAGCACCCAGGTGGGCACCAAGATCAGCATTGGCACCGGCACCGCCGTGGCCTCCGAGCAGGCCGGAAAGGAGACCGAAAGTTCGGGCCTCCACGCGAGGAGCGGCTTGGTTTCCGGGGTGGGAGGAGGCTCCGGTAGTCACAGACACCGGGACGGCCATAGTTGCGGCCGTGAGGGCCAGGGCACAGAAAGCGTAACGCATCTCGTCAAAAGAACGTGTGTGAAAGAAGAAAATAAAAATTAAGTATAAAGAGAACGTGGAAAGAGAGACTTTTTCGGTTTTTTCTTTTTGTCAAAAAAAGAGTGTAGCGATGTCCAGGCTGATGATGAATGAAGAACACAATGGTCAGGGAAGAACTAGCTCCTTTATATACCCCTGATGCTGTCCGCCCAGTGCAGTTCTCGATCTTTCACCACCCCATGGATCCAAGACCTCCGTTCTATTCTGGGCTCAGGGAGGGCCAGAGTTGTCGGGGTTGCGGACGGTGATCTTCGTTTCAAACAGGAACAAGTTCTGGGGGAGACCAGGAGACGAGCAGATTATTGAAACGCACTTACCAAACTTTGCGAGTCAAGGTTTGGCACACTTTCAGGTACCCGAAAGTCTCCAATTGCCAGCTCGGGGCAGTCAAACTCTGCTCTGGAGATAGCGTTGTCGACATTTCGGCAACGATCATGCGTTGCCTGGACCGTTGTTAGTTGGTCGACAGGCCTGGATAGCGCAAAAACTGGCAAGTTACCGCTGCGACACCGAAAATGGGACAACAACTAGCTCGACCAGCCTCCGCTTTGGGACAAGGAAACGGATATGGAATATCCCGACCCTCTCGGAGACCGTTCCACCTGCAGAGTCACCCTTCGACTCTCGTCCTCGTCCCTCGACCATCGCCCCGGGGTCAAGGCTCCGCATCTTGTCGTGAGACCGTGATAGAACCAGTCACTTCTCTCCACCAGAATATAATTAGAAATGGAATGCGGTTTAGAATTGAGAATAGAGTTCTCATTGTGGAGCATGCTAGGGCTGGCGGGATCGCTGAAACGAACCTATGCATGGTTTGAAACCGCTTATTTTGGGTACGAGGGTAGGTTCGAACGGCCGACCCGATTAGTCGCAGATCGTTGCCTCGACTCCGGGGGTTCCCGCGGACTCTCACAAACCAGGAGATCCTCGGATCCTCAGAATTGAGCATATAGCATGACTCTCAGAATCACGGGGCTCTGGGCCTTGGGAGAGTCGGCTGCGCTCAAAATGGTTAGTATTATCTCTGGTCGGTTTGATCTGGAATCCTCCTAGTGATCTTTAGCGCCGATCCCAAAATTGAGACTGCTCCTATTCTCTTGTTCACAGGAAGAACATTTAGGCTTCTCGGGTTGTTTTCTATGCGCGCTCTGTTCGCTTGCATTTTCTCAACTGTGAGTTGTAAATCTCCGAGTTAGATGGGCAAAATCGATTCTTTGTCAAAGAATGCTTGTAGCGGAGGCAGGCAGCCGCACGCAGCCGTCCTCCACTCTGCAGTCCGCATGAACTCCGGAGCATTGGTGGTTCGCAAGACCCACAGCCCCTGGGAACCACGAAACAGGGTCGCAGGGCCCTGTTTTACGCTCGTCGGCCTCTATACCCGACCAGGTATCAACGGGGATGATCCAGCCCGGGAAGATAAAGCGGATTAACGGCACCGCAGCCTCCCTACTGGCCAATGCCAGTCCCACGGGCATCGGGGATTGACTCGTTCTTGTGGCGGAAGACGGCTAAGACTAAGGCGGTTCGAGTTCCCGTGACTAGCAGGTTAGAAGGAACCATGTTTCCCTCTACCAAATAATGGGTTCATTTGGGAGATGCAACTATCGAAGGAATTCGTGATCCATGAAGGCCCTTGGAGGGAGGTTAAAAGTGGGAAGCTGGAAGTTGCTGGGCTTCAGGGGCCAAAGGACAGAACCTGTCGCCCCTTTTCGACCTAGCGGCTGCCCGGGCGGTGTGGGGCCTCGATCTCCCACTAAGCCCGTTGGGGACATCACATGCTCGGCCTCGCCATCGCCCATCGAGAAAACCCTCACCACGTCATGTCCCTATGGCTGCAGCTTCCTTTTCTTCTTCGCTTCCTTTTCTTCTTCGCTTCCTTTTCTTCTTCGCTTCCTTTTCTTCTTCGCTTCCTTTTCTTCTTCGCTTCCTTCTCTATCTGCGCTTTACCCCCGCTGCGCTCCCCCAGCCTCGGGGAAAAGGGGTATTTTGGTTGTGTACGCGTTTCCGGGCGCGTACTCCACACGCGGCTTCTTGGCGCGTCTGGCGTACTTACCTTGGTAACACGTAACCTGCTGTGTACCATAACAGGCTGGGATGCTTATATGGGCTGCTGTAAATCTAGTTACTAGCTAATAGCTGGTAGTCTGGGTAAGCAGCAGCAAGCTGAAGACAAAAGTCAGAATGAGGAATAAGCTATTAGCAGAGATCCATATCTAGGCCTTGCAAAAATGGCGCCTAGGCCGGGATCCTGAAAATGCCAAGCTCCAACTACTAGCAGCAGCTTATATCTAGGCCTTGTAATCATGGCGCCTAGGCCGAAGCTCTAAAAATGCCTAGCATCAGGAATCATCAGCGCACCATCCAGGCAAGGGATGTAAAATATATGCTAAAATCCTCCCTGCGGGGTGACCTTTTGAAAAATTGGTTTGAGGCAATGCGAGAAACCTTTTGAATATCTACCAAAAGGGGGCCTAGGTGCTCCGAAAGGAGTCAGTGATCGCTAGAGGGATACTGGGATATGAAAACCACCCGACACAAAGCTGTTCTAGTGGAGTGACAGGGTACCCTCGAGTTCAGCTAGCTCTGGGATTGAGGCAGAAAATCCTGCCTCAGCGAGGGATAGAACAAAACCTAAGTACTCTCTGGAGTAATGGAAGCTGTTAAGTCTAGCAGGATAGTAGTTGCCGGATGTGTTAAAGGCAAGGCCTACACCAAGACCGAACTACTTATTACTTGAACAGGCACAGCGCACCGCTTCAGAGTTTCAAAGTATATGGTAGGAACTGAGCTAGGTTAGTAGGGCCTATTACACAAGCAATACGCTGGCTAGGTAGTGCTAGTGATGGCCTCTGCAAGACATGGTCGGCTGCTAGAGGGAGACCACTAGCAGTAACGGGAAACTATCTCTCTGAGGTAGCGGGCCGTAGCACTATAACGGTGACCAGAGGGTACTAGAAAGGTATGTTTCCAGATCGTACCTGGACCGTGGCTGTGTGGTATCGCCGGCATTTCAACAGATGCTTCCAACTCGTACTTGGACCGCAGTAACGTGGTATCGCCAGCATATCCTACTAGATGGACCTGCGGAGACCCTATAGTGGCTCGAGAGGACGGATGCGCATGTCGGTCAGCTTAGAGAGAGAGAGTATTATGCCTGACTCGTACTCAGGTCCCCAGGAGCTTCCTGGCGCGGTATCGCCCATAATACTATTGCCCTTGCGGCTGGCTTAAGGTGCAAACTCCAGAGATGTTTACAGCAGCAGAACCCTTTGGGGTCAGGGTTCTGCCAGTAGGGCCGGGTAAAATCACTTTCTGAGCAGGAATGCCAGGTTGAAGATGGTATTGGAATCGAACGGACTTGTTAAGGCTCTGCCACAGGCGACCGCGAGCCGCCCTACCCCTGTTGTCTCTGGCGCCCTGCACTCTACCGGGAATCAGGGCTTCTACCAGCAGAGATTGAGCTAGACTATATAGCTGCTACTGCTACAGTCC